TTTTTAAAAAAAAATTATAAAATATTTTTAAAAGAAAGAGTATTTTTTTAAAAAAAATATATTCTTCAATTACAATTTTTTAATAGCTATACTTCAATAAAATTATTCTTATTAGTTTTTCTCTAACAAAAATACTTTTAAGCAGTTTTCTTAATCTCCTATTTCTTTTTATCTGTTATTTTCATCTTTATTTATAAATTAAATAACAATAATTTTAATTTTTTATTATAAAACTAATTTTATATATTATAAAATATTTATTTTTATGTATTCAAAATATCTGTTTAACTAAAATTTTAATTATATAAAATAAAAAAGTTTTTTTTCTTTGCATTGCAAGCTAAAATACTAGTAATGGGTTCTATTGCTATTTTAGTCATTTTTATACTCCAAAACCATATTTCTTTTTAAGTCTGATTATTTTTAAACATACATTCCTATTTAAAATAACTAAATTTGATATTTATAAAGAGTGTTACATTTACAAACTATTTTAAAAAAATACTCTCTGACAAAAAAAAAAAAAAACTACGATTGACAGTGTAATTCTTTTACACTTACAAGCATAAAAAGATAAAGTATTCTATTAATTACTAATTTTTATACATCATTAAATTTTCGTCAAGTTTATTTATATATAAATAAATGTATTCATTGATTTATTAAACATACAAATTATATTTATCAATAAAAATGTCATCTTTTCCTTCACTAATTTGCGAAGGATTTGCGAGGGATTTGCGAAGGATATACTTATAACTCATTAGCGAGGGATTTGCGACAAGAAAAATTCCTCGCTAGATGAAAAATTCATTTTTTTTATTTTGGGTCATAATTTGGAGAGGGATTTGCTAGGAATTTGCGAGGACCTCAGTTCTTCGCTAAATAAGCACTAACTTTAGCGGATGATTTGCGAGGAAATAAAGGTTGGTTGCAAAATGTTCCTATTTAGCGAGGGATATAAATCCAAGCTATTCCCTCGCTAAGTAGCGAGGGAATAGCTTGGATTTATATCTCTCGCTAAATTTCCTCGCTAATCCGCAAAATTCTTTTAGTGTTATACACTTCACGATAAGAAACAGGACGGTTCTCTTGTGCCTCTTGTAAAAAGAGTACAGTACAAATTGTAAGTAATGAAATTTACCAAAGAAACTCATTAATTTTCAAAACCCTCAACTTTCACAACTTGTTAAAGAATTAAAAAAAAATTGTACTTAAAAAAAATCCATCGGTAAAGATTTTTAAGACATCATTAATAACACAATTTTAATTGTAACAAATTCCAAATATTAGAATAGGAATAAAGCAAACATCACCCATTAATTATTGACAAAATTCAATATGATTTGATTACCGTAGCTTTTTTGTGTTGCCCGAAGCTTCTTGACCCTCCTGTGTGCACCATTGCTTCAGGCTGGGCAGCCCTGTTTTGTCTTCCAGCAACAGATTTCTTTTGCCATTCTGGTATCTTCCAAATGTCGATCAACCCATTCCATATTTCAGCTTTCATCCCTCTAGGCTTGTGAGCCCTTAAATCCTCATAATTTCTTGAGTTTGCTACTTTTATTGCTTTATCCCTGTCTTTACACAATTGATCAGAATACCTATCCATGCATGTTTTTTCCCAAACTTCCCTCGCCATCACACGATCATATTCTGATGCAAAACGATATTTTTCCTGCAATAATACAACTGAAGTAAAAAAAAATAGTTGTTGATATAATGATATAATATATAATACTATTAGATTAATTACTTACCTTAAAATCATTAAATAACATTTCTTTCATTTCAGGACAATAACTTTTCCAACAATCTGCAGCATAAGGCATCCTTGACATTACCTCAGAAATGATATAACAAGTCACAAATTGTTGAGCAAACCTCTTCCTATAATTCAATTCAAACCACAAATAGTTCAATAACATGAATTTAAACTATTAATCATATTCATAAATTCAATTTTACTTACGGTTTAGAAACTGCCACCACGGATATTATTTGCCTCCTATCAATTAGAATCTTCACTTGAAGGCACCATATAGGTTGTTGATTATCAGATGTTCGGATAGTATTTGATTCACCACCAGTAATCAAGGGGGTGGTATCAGATGATTGTCCACCACTAGCTGATGTAGCGCCACCATTAGCTAATGAACTAGTAGATCCATCACCTAGACAAACATAGTAAAGAAAAGTTAGATTTTATCCATTGCATTTAAATAAATATAGAGTTAATAATTAAAATGTTATTCTAAAAGTGTACGAGGTGAGTGATGAGAAACATGTGGTGGAGGATTCGAAGCAATTTGAGTGAGCTGATGAGGATTATTGGCTTGATTAACCCGACACCCTCTTCCTCGAGTAGTTGGCATAATGATTACCTACATAAAATTAAAACAACAAAAAGTGATCATTTATATGGGAAATTAAAGTCATAAAGAACCACAAGTAATCAAATAAGGCAATACTAGTACCAATTAGAAACCCTTTTATCTATTTCTTATTTTAACACTAAAAAATGAGTAATTATGTGTAATGTGTTGAAACTAAAACCTTTTAGAATATATTCATCACCTTTCAAAATCAAGTTGTTAATCATAACTAGATTCTGAATCATATAATTCCTCATCATCTATGAACTCGTTAATATCTTCAATCTCATCATCTTCAATATCATCAATGAAGTGATCATGATGCAAGTTGTCCATTGGATGATGTATATCATTGTTGCCTACTTCTTCCATTGGAGCAATTCCATCAAACAATGGTATCGTCTCATCGTGTATAACACTTTGGTGTGCTCTTATGGATCCATCATCTTGGTAATAATCAGTATAAGTTAGCTCATTTGATCCACCAAATTCATCATTTAATGTCTCAGCCATAAAAAGTTTCGGTCTAACTTTGCAAGCTGCCCACCATTCATCACTAGATCTACCCCCACTTTGTGGGTATCTTGTGTAGTAAACTTGTTGTGCTTGTTCAGCTAAAACAAATGGCTCATCTGATTGAAGCTTTGATTTATGTTTGATATCAACCAACCCATATCTTTCATCAATAGTGACACCATTTGGGTCAAACCAGTGGCAGCGTAGGATAATTACTCTTTGATGTCCAAGATATGATAATTCTAATATATCCTCAACAATTCCATAATAGTCTAAATCATTCTCACCATATATATTTCCCCGAACGCATACCCCACTATTCATGGTGGCTTTATTATGTCCATAGTCCTTAGTATGAAATCTATATCCATTAACTATTAAGCCATTAAAAGAAGTTGCAAATTTAGATGGACCATAACTTATCTCTTTAATCATTTGATCATCAACTTGATTTGTACTTACCTGTAAATGATTTCAAAGAGAAAAAATGGTTGCATCACTTAGTATATATTATGAACGTTAAAAAGAACATTATATACATTTATGAGTAAGTTGACTCACTTGATGTTTCAACCATTTACTGAAGTTTTTATCGCGAGTTTCCACTATTTCATCCTCATCAATATTGGGATTTGTTTCCTTTAGCGAATCCTCAAATTGTCTAATACATATAATAAATTTAATAAGAAAACTAATTTCACTATAAACTACCAAAATTGAGAAATTAGGGAGCAAACTTACTGGAGATAAGGTTCCACTTCTTTGCAATTTACAAGAACATATGTCTCAGCAATTTCAAGCTCTTTATCTGTTAATATTATTTTTTGACCCTTGCCAATAGGACGACATGGGTATTTAAAAATAGACAACTTATCATCACCATTGGCATCTTCACCACCATCATCATTTCGAGGAACTTGAGTGTGTCTTGTTTGTATAGTTGGATCAAAGTACATAGAAGCAAAATTAGAAATTTCTTCCACAATATAAGCTTCACAAATGGATCCTTCAACCCTTGCTTTATTTCGAACCTTCTTTTTCAAGTACAACATGCACCTCTCAAATGGATACATCCATCTGTACTGCACTGGTCCTCCAACCTTGGCTTCATAAGGGAGATGCACAATTAAATGTTCCATGGAATCAAAGAATGCTGGCGGGAAAATCTTTTCAAGCTTGCAAATTGTTTCAATAATGGAAACCTTAACATTGTCCATGACAGAAGTACGTATCTCATGTGCACAAATTTCTTTGAAAAACAAGCTGAGTTCTGTTAATACTCCCCATATTGGCTTTGGCAACATATCACGAAATGCCAAAGGAATTAGTCTTTGCATAAAAACATGACAGTCATGACTTTTCATTCCATATATCTTTCCTTCATCTATATTAATGCAACGTGATATGTTAGATGCATATCCATCTGGAAATTTTAATTGTTTTATCCACTCACACACTTTCTTTCTTTGATTATCATTCAAGACATATGTCGCCTTTGGCTTTTTATACATTTCATTCTCAAATATCAACTCTAAACTTGGGCGTTTACAAATATCTTTCAAATCAGCTCTTGCATTTGCATTGTCTTTCGTCTTTCCCTTTATGTCCATGACAGTGTTGAATATATTGTCAAACACATTTTTTTCAACATGCATGACATCCAAATTGTGTCGTATTAGATTAGTGGACCAATAAGGTAATTCCCAGAATATGCTTTTCTTCACCCAATTATGCCTTGTACCAAAGCCAGGTTGTTGTTGTTTGGGTGCCTTCAAGCCAAAAGTGATAGAATGAAGTTGATTCACCATATTTAAGACATCCATGCCATTAAATTCTTGTGGAGGTAAATATTTTACCACTGTTGACTTCTTAAAAGAGTGTCGATCATGATGAAATTGATGATCAATGGGCAATAATTGACGATGAGAATCAAACCAACAACATTTCCTTCCATGTTTCAGATAAAATGATTTACTATGCTCCATACAATAGGGGCAAGCAAGTCTCCCATGAGTGATCCAACCAGATAACATTCCATATGCTGGAAAGTCACTTATTGTCCATAATAAAGCTGCTTTCATAATGAAATTTTGCTTCCTACATGCATCAAAAGTGTGACTAAATTCATATTGTAAACATATAAATTATATTTAAAATTTATGATGATATATATATATATATATGTGTGTGTGTGTGTGTGTGTGTGTGTGTGTTTTAAAAAATATATATGAGTGAAAATTCAGTTACATCAAAAGTAACTCTTAAAAGAGTTATTTAATGAATGTAATTACGTTATATATTGAATTTCTTATTCAATAAATTAAGTCTAAAAATTTGTATACTTTATTTTTTAATCAATAGTTTTATTTAATAGATAATGTTAGATAATATTTAATAATTTTTAAAATTAATATTAGATAATATTTAATAATTGTAAAAATATTTTCAAATATTCAATAATTAAAAAAAATGAAGAGATAACAAATAAGATAAAATATATATATAAGTAAAATAAAAAGAAAAAAATATGAGAAATTTCAAATTCTTACTTTTTTGGGAGAATTTGAAATTATACTATTTCAAGAAATTTTACAAATACTTGAATTTCAAATTCTACTAGCAATGAAATATCTTATTTGCGAGGGATTAGTGAAAAACCTTTTCCCTCACTAATTTGCGACGGATTTGCGAGGCATTTGCGAGGGCTATACTTATAACTCATTAGCGAGGGATTTGCGACAAGAAAACTCCCTCGCTAGATGAAAAATTCATTTTTATATTTTGGCTCATAATTTGGCGAGGGATTTGCTAGGGATTTGCGAGGGCATAAGTTCCTCGCTAAATAAGCACTAGCTTTAGCGACAGATTTGCGAGGAGATGAAGGTTGGCCGCAAAATGATCCTATTTAGTGAGGGAATTTAGCGAGGGATATAAATCAAAGCTATTTCCTCACTAATTAGCGAGCGATTAGAGAGGACCTGTATTCCTCGCCAGTCCCTCGCTAATTAGCGAGGAAATAGCTTGGATTTATATCCCTCGCTAATCCGCGAAATTCTTGTAGTGTGTAGAAACTCTTTCAAGCTTAAGGAACCTCCAACGTTGTAGCTGTGAATTTCACAACTATGGCTGTGACTCTTGTTGGGATACAAACAAGTCCCACATCGATAAAATAAGACAAGAAATAACAACTTATATAGCACAAACATACTTCAATGATAGAGAGACCTTTTGGGTGATGACCAAAAGCAAAACCGTGAGGGCTAAGACCCAAAGCGGACAATATTTCATCATTGTAGAGTATGCTTGTGTAATAACCTTATAATAATAACTCTCATAAAATATCTCCTCAGACAAATACCATAAAATAACCCCAACAACTCTCTGGTGCTCTCTGGTGCTCTCTCTTGATCCTTAGTGCTCCGTCGCTTTAGCTGTGAGCTCACAACTTTAGCTTCAAGTTTCTGGACCCCTCAAATTTGCATTCCAGATTTCCACAGCTATAGCTGTAGAACCATAGCTATAGCTGTAACTTTTTGACCTTCTGATTTCTCCCCAAATTTCCACAGCTATAGTTCCAGAACCACAGCTATGGTTGTCAAACTTTGTCTTCCTAATTTTTCTGCAAAAAGGAAGGAAATCATCATAAATTTTCTACTATTCTTCTATCTTTTTAATATGAACTTGATTCTTCCTAATTAGGAGTAAATTATCATATATATATATATATATATATATATATATATATTTACAATTTATCCAAAAAGAATGCCAAAAATTGAGTGTAATTCATGAATAAAAGAAACTCAACAAAGAGCAACATCATTGCAAAAGACAATAAACTCAAAGATGAGTAGAGAGGTAAAGCATCTCACTTGCAGCAAGAACATGATTTGGCAAAGGAAACACAGACATGAATCAAAGCTGAGTCTCAAAACTTGAAGAATTTGAGAAAATTGCTGCAGAGTGAGAGGTAGAGCAATTCAAGTAGAATTTTTTTGTACCTGCTGGTACATGGTATATATGATACATGAAAGTAAAATTTTTTTCCTATTAACATTGTTGTCGCATTAGGTCTTGTTTTCGGTATTTTATTGTGTTACTATAACGTTAATTCTTTGAAAATTAAAACTTTATTAGAAGTCACTAGTGAATACACACATAAGTGTGAAGTATTTGGGGATTTAGAGACTTGAATTTAAGATACTGGATTTCAATTTCCAATTTATACAATTGTCCTTTTGGACTAGTTCAAATTGATCTAGCCACCTTTTTCTAAATTTGCAGGTTTCTCACTGGTGTAATTCATATTTCACACCAGGTTCCTACCTATCAACTTAATTTTATTTTGTAACCTTCATTTAATAAGCCTTTCATTACTCTCATTCAGTACACGTGATTACTCGGCACTCTTTGGTCACTTTTAAGTCATTGTTGTTCCCCCTTATTCTTTGTTTCTCTACACATCCATCGTTCTCTTCAATTCACCAACCCAATGCACCCTGATCCTTCTCTATTTTTCCTAAACAGATTTCCCATTAATATAATAATACTAGCTTATTGAAACGAGTCTGCTTCATATAAGAAGTAAGGGTGATCAATCACTAGTGCAAAAATAGGTTACTACGTCACCTAATTTACGTTGAGAAAAGAAAATACGACGTTATAAATACGCGATGACATTTTTGTAAATAATAAGTGACTAATTTACGTCGGACAGTGGGGGGTCCGACATAAATTAGACAATCTACGTCAGAGGAGTCATGTGGCTGACGTAGATTATATAATTTACGTCGAACCCCCCACTTTCCGACGTAAATTAGCCACTGTAATGCCCCAACGTTTCCTTTTCATTCCTGTGCTCCCCTTTGTTTTCGAAAGCATCTCTAAATTCTTCTACTCTAAGTCTCTAATAAGTTCGTTTGTTTTCACACATCTCTCGTTTGTCTAAGTCCTCTAAGAGTCTGCACATTCCACATTTGAGGTAACTTTCTTCTACGCATTATTTTGTTTATTTTCTGTTATATGTTCATCTGGAATGGGCCGTTCTGCAAGCAGAACGGGCCGTTCTATTTGAATGTTTTTGTTTGTTAATTGTTGATCTTGAACGGGCATTCTGAAACCAGAATGGGCTGTTCCAGTTGAAAATTAACACAAAATTTTTGCAGCTGGAACGAGCCGTTCTGATTTTGGAACGGGTCATTCCAGATGCATAAAATTTGTGTTAATTGTGTATCTGGAACGACCCTGTTCTGATTTCAGAACGGGCCGTTCCAGATGCATTAAAGAAGGACTTTTTAGGCATTGATCTTTAGTTTACGTAGAAGTTCTGGAGTGGCCAGAACGGCCTGTACTGATACCGGAACGGCCCGTTCTGAACTCCCTCAACACGCACAAAAATCACCTGCAAAATCGCCCATTCTGAAAAACATTGCCATTTTAGGCGGGTGGCGACAACACCCACAACACCTCACAAGCACTCCTCGCCTGCGCATAAGGCTCACGTGTATACGAGACAGCTGGGTACGATTTCTCGATCACCTTTATTTTTCCTTTTTAGCGTAGCATAGCATAGCATAGCGTAGCCTAGTCTAGTGTAGGGTAGTCCTCTGAATCTGTTTCGTTATCCTTATGAATTGTAATTCTGTTATCATCTAATGGAGGATATGATTTCTGCAGTCAATATACATGTCATTTGTTCGATTCACGTTAACACTTACGTGCATGAAATTGATTATATGATTAACATAGATATTCTGTTATGTTAAAACAACACCCTAATCAATTAACTCTATTTTTTGCTTGTACGATTTACCACCGAAAATCTTCGAATCTATCATGTCACAAACACGCCTAAATTGAAATTGTGCTAGTTTGAATAAAAAGAACCTACGAACAAAATCCTCCACAAACAAATTGGCACGCCTGGTGGGACTTGTTTGGTGAACTTAATTGAACTAGTTTTGGGTGTGTTTATACTTTTATGAGACTTAGAAGTGGGAGAACTATGTCTACATCCAGCAGAAGAGATGTGCATAATGAATAACAGGGTAATGGAGAAAATCAGAATACAAATCAAGAAAATATGGCAAATGAGACTAGGGGGCAATGTCTCCACCTCCTGTAAGTATTCCGAACTCCGCGAGATTTCGTGATTTGCTTATCTTTCAATAAAATATCGAATATTTTATCAGCTTTTGTTACATCGAAACTATACTTCCTATTTGAACCATCCTTTGTATTTTTTTCCCTAAGTTTTAATAATTGGCATTGATAAGTTGGCCCGGGTTGTAATTCAGCTAAGTTCACTTCCATATCTTCATTTAGACTCTCTAAATTGTTATCTTTAACGTACATATTGTCTAAATATGCCACTTTTTCCTTTCGAACGAACTTGTCAAATTTTCTCAGCCTTTCTTTCTCTGCTCGAATTTGTTCAATTCGTCTCACTTTCTCTGCTAGTTGAGCCATATCTCTCAATTTCTCATTCACAAGTATCTTTTGAATCGAAAAGTCTAACCCAGTGGCTGCAATTTTTACCAACTCATGCTTAGGAATATTCGTGTAACATCGAGACTTTAATTGCCTGAATCTATTCAAATATTCGTCCAATGTCTCATGATGTTGCCACTTTATATTCATCAGATCAACTATGCTCACCTTGGTTTCCTCTCGAAAAAAGTGTTCGTGGAAACTCCTTTCCAGTTGTGCCCAAGTAATAATCGAATTAGGTGGCAAAGTCGTAAACCACGTAAAAGCATGTTTGGTTAGTGAACTTGAAAAATATTTCATTTTCAGATATTCATTACTCACTAGGTCTCCACACTTGACTAAATATCTCGCTA